TGGAGGAATTATGGGAAGATCTGCTGAATCCAATAATCAGACAACAACTTCCATCATGGAGTCTGAAAAATACCAAATGGATGAGCTCCAAAAGTCATCTGCTGCACCAGAAATGCAGGGAAGTGTGTCTCCTCCAGAATCTCTCCAAGCACTTAGAGAGAAATTCTTTTTATTAGCTGGGAAGAACTATCTTGAGACTACACCACCACAGAGCAAGGAAGAGCGTGACGAGTTCATGGACTTCATGCAAGACCTGAGAGTTCTCATAAAGTGTGCTAGAGAAGGAAGTCTGGTGATAACAGTGAAGTGTAAATCTCTCCAGATCTTGGAGGAATTGTGGAGAGAATATTTATCTGGTCACTTGGGTGAAGTGGTTCAAAATTGTTTCGTCACGGAAACAATCTTGAAGGAACTGAACCTGGTAGAGCTGAAGCTGAAAATGGATATAGAAGAGTACAACAATGGATATAGAAGAGTACAATGCATGCAAACTGCACTTTGAGAGAGTTGCACTCAGAGGTTAGTACCTTACAATTCAAGACCAGATCATTTCAAAAGTATTTGCAAAAGTGTGTCTCTCTTTCATCATGGAGTGGGTTTTAAAACTGTTACAATATGAAGAATTGGTTTTAGTTTTCTATCAAGATAGAACATGTTGTCTAATTGAAAATGTTTATGTGCTGACTGTCTAAGTCCTGCTATAACTGATTTGTTCGCAAGATGTTAGTTTGTATCTAAATTTTTGTTTAGAGTCAGTTGAACTTTCTTCATTCTTTACTTGTTGGTCTGTCTGTTTGTGTTAAAAGAAAAAACTAAATTCAGTTAATTATTTCTTGAAATGGTGCTTTTTTGCCTTTTGGCTGTGTTAAATTTTATTTTGAATTCTTTATAAAATTTATTTGAAAAGAATCAACGGGGAAATGATATCAGGAAGCAGTAGTTTTGGTTGATAAAATTAATTAAATGTGGGTTATCTGCCACACAATAATAAGATCTGTGTAACTGTCGCACAATATTATTGGAAATGCAGTTTTTAGTGTCTGAATGGTAAACTCACATAATTGGTTTTCTTTTAAATTTTATTGTAGACGCTTTGTCAGCTCAGTCATACACCACAGGTACTGAAGATGAAGCACAAATAGAAAGATGGAAACAGAACACAGAGGTTGTGGAGTCAGAGAAAGTGAAAAGTAAACACAACTGAATCTAAAGCTTGCTATACAGAAATTTAATAAAACCAAAAATTTAGCGAAAGTTTTTGCAGAAACACCTCTTTGTGACATTAGGATCTGTTTTGAAATAATTTGTGATATGTAATTGAGGAACCGAATGATGTCTTGAAGAACCAACTCTGAGAGAGTATTATTGTATCTTTTCATGACCATGACACGTTAGAAAGCCCATGGCTATCTTTTCTTTAATAAGTGATTTGAAGAAAGCTTTTAGTAACTGCACACTAATTGACTCTTAGGTAGTTTACCCATTCTTGAAATGTCCACCACTGGTCACAATAAAGAAGGAGAAGAACCACAAGAGACTAAGAAAGGTGAACAGAAAACTCAGTTTTTCTTTTATGTACTCTTCTACAAGGAAATAAATCAACCAAGAATGCTGTTAAATTCTTTCAACTCTTATAAAGTGCTAGCTTTTTTTAACAGAATCTTGCATCCCAAGTTTGTTTTTTCTCATTCCATCCATCTGTCTGTACCACAGAACTGTGAAATAGTGTATATATTACAATATTTGTGTAAAACTGGTCTCAGTAATAATAGGCCTTTTGCAGTTAGAGATCACATGCTTAGATACCGCATAGCAATGCTATACTGGAGAACAACCACTCCAGTGATCTCAGGCAAAAAAGAAATCACAGAGGTCTCTATTCAAACAAAGAATACAGTGGATAACAAGTTAAAAGGTATCCCAATTAGAGAAATCTTGTAAGTTTTAATCAACAGCTTCGTTGGAGTGTATCAGCAAAAAACAAATTTTGGTGTGATTTTGCTGCTGATACACTCCGGGGAAGCTGTTGATTACTTCTTACTGGATTTCTCGAATTGGGATACCTTTTGACCCGTTATCCGCTGTATTCTTTGTTTGAATGCAGACCTCTGTGACCTCTATACTGTCTGAGATCACTGGAGTGCTTGCTCTCCAGTATGGCTATGCTAGGCGGTATCTAAGCATGTGATCTCTAGCTGCAAAAGGCCTATTCAAAAGACATTGAAGAACTAACACTGAAAGCATGTGATTCTTTTGTTGACTCAGTCATCTGGACATAATGGAATTTGGACAATTTCTAGTTTCTTTTCACAGTTTCATAGAATCCACTTTTTTAATTAATTAACCCTTTAACTACTACCAGGGACAAAAAATTATATTTTTCTTTACAATACAAACAGGCAAGTGGTGTCATAGGAATTGTATGGCAGACAGTAAGGAGAATTACTAATGAGATCTTGGGAATGAAAGGATTCATTTATTACTTAACTGTAGCTTTTTTAAGCTAATAGTAGCAGGGATGATGAAACAGTATTATGATAGTAAACTAAGTTTTTTAAATAATTTGGATATATCAACAAAGTTGAAATGGTAAATTGGCCACTGTAACGATTACAAAAGCTGATGTTTCGAGCATTAGCCCTTTGTCAGAGTGAATAGAGGAATTGTGGGTTGTGTGTGCTTTTAAAGGCAGAAAATGGAGCTATGTTATTGGTGGGAACATGGCAACGAGAAAAAGAAGAATAAATTAGTGGAATGAAAAGCGTTCATTGATCCCTGTGGGATTTAGACTGCCGGTTTGAAAGATGA